GACTTTGACTTGGCCACTCCAAAACCTTAATTTTGTTTTTTTTTTAGCCATTCAGAGGTGGACCTGCTGGTGTGTTTTGGATCGTTGTCCTGCTGCATGCTCCAAGAGCGCTGGAGTTTGAGCACACAAACTGATGGCCGGATGTTCGTGTTTGAGCGCACGAACTGATGGCCGGACGTTCAAGATTTGCTGGTAGACAGCAGAATTCATTCTTCCATCAATTACAGCAAGTCGTCCTGGTCCTGAGGCAGCAAAGCAGCCCCCGACCATCACACTGCCACCACCTTGCTTCACTGTTGGTATAGTGTTCTTTTGATGGAATGCTGTGCCATTTTTTCGCCAGATGTAACGGGCCGCACACCTTCCAATAAGTTCAACTTTTGACTCATCAGTCCACAGAATGTTCTTCCAAAAGTCTTGAGGATCATCAAGATGTTTTTTGGCAAATGTTAGACAAGCCTTTGTGTTCTTTTTGGACAGCAATGGTTTTCGCCTCGGAACTCTGCCATGGATGCCAGCTTTGGCCAGTGTTTTTCTTACAGTAGAGTCATGAACACTGACCTTAACTGAGGCCAGCGAGTCCTGCAGTTCTTTCAATGTTTTTCTAGGTTCTTTTGTGACCTCCTGGATGAGTCGTTGTTGCACTATTGGAGTAATTTTAGCTGGCCGGGGAAGGTTTGCCACTGTATATGTGTAAATATGTTCCCAGTTCTCTCCATTTGTGGATAATGGCTCTGACAGTGGTTCGCTGGAGCCCCAAAGCCTTGGAAATGGCTTTGTAACCTTTTCCAGACTGATAGATGTCCATCACTTTTTTTCTCATTCCTTCTTGAATTTCTTTGGATCGTGGCATGATGCTCTGATCTTGTAGCCTACTTCACTTTGTCTGACACATTCTATTTAAGTGATTTCTTGATTCAACACATGTGGTGGTAATCAGGTGTGGGTGTGTCCTGTGAAATTGAACTCAGCTTTCCTAAAATTGTGATTAGTCTCACTTATTTTGTGATTTAACAAAGGGGGGCAATTACTTTTTCACAGAGGGCCAGACAAGTTTGTAATTTTTTTCTCCCTTGGTAAATAAAATCATCATTTAGAAACTGCATTTTCTATTTCCTTGGGTTGTCTCTGTGTCATACTAAAATTGGTTTGATGATCTGAAACCTTTGTGTGTGATAAATATGCAAAAAACACAGAAAT